TTGTATTAGGTTCAAAGCTGCTTAGCCACTGACTAGGACTTCTCATCTGCTAGCTCAGTCTTAACTATCATAAACCTATATATTTTATAAGACTTATCTTATCGGACGCCTTATTGGTGTCCCTCCTTGCCGGTGGATCACATTGTGCCGCTGGAGCAGGAGCGGAGGGGAAAAGAGACACACTTCCTGTTTCCTCGCTTAGATATGAGTCTCCTTGCCATGTCACTTCCTGCCTGGATCATCACTTCTCTACTACATTTCCCAGAATCCTCTTTGACTCCTAGTGCTTCCTTGCCATTGGCCAAACAGTATTTTATTCAAAAATCAATAAGATAAACATACAAAGAAGTACATTCCCCATCAGTAGCATCTACTCCCTGATGGCTAAACAACAAGCTCAATAACAGAGGAAGTTCTTAATCATGTTATTTAAAAAATAACTACTTCTACTAGAGTTACTCAGTTAATACTGTATAGCAATTAAAGAATTAATGAACACAATGAAAGTCATATTAGTCCTATCTCAACAAATTAATGCCTCTATTAAAAGTTTTCACACCTTCCAAATGGCAGAACCATTGTCTCTCCCACAGGTAGACCTTAAGTACCAACTTCACACACTGCAGTTCCAACTCTGCAGCTTAAAACAGCTATGCAGATTCTCTCTCACAGTACAGGACTGTGATTTGCTGGGGGTGATGTTGGGAATGGGGACTGACTTTGATTCCTCCTCAAGTGTTTTAAGTATTACCCTCATTACTTAAATATTTCATACTTTAACACTAACTCATAGTATCTTGCGCAATATACCTGGAAATTTGTTTTCTTATTAAAGATTTTTCCAAAAAGCCAGGCTTAAGCTACTCATTCTTGGCAAGATTAACAGCCTTTATCTCTAGGGATTATTGAAGAGAAGTCTGTTCAAAAGAAATGAGCTCAGTTGAATTTGTTCCAAATATTTTAAAAAGCTTATCTATTTAAATAGCGAAGATGTAGAAGTCTTAGAAAGTATCATGAATATAAATGGAAGAAGTTCTTTCCTGATTGAATGACCCAGGAAGCCTCTGATATTTAACCCTTGATGTATTCTGTTTTTATGCTTTATTCATTGTTGTGACAGTCTATGGAAGATCTCAGTTTCCAGGGGTCTTCTACATACAGAGAATGTTTTTCACAAGAAAGGAGAGGACTTATGGAGATTCTATCTAAGTGACAAAGATTGAAGTCTTCTGGAAGTAGTCAAGAAAACTCTCACCACTAATGCTTCAGTAATTTAAACCACTGATTTGTCATGTTGAGTACCTGGCTTTTTTGTGAGTCACAGTCTATACTTCATAAAGTCAAAGCCCTTTGGATGCCTTTTGTAAAATGATGCAAAAAGAAAATTGCATATTATTAATTCCATGTTTGTGAATTTTTATTTAAATAAGACCAAAAAAGAGGGTTAGCACTTTCTAATTATTAAGTGAACTTTTATACACATGCAAATAATACATCTTGGCATTTTTATGATTAAATTTTTTTAGATTGCGATAATGTTAAACTACCTTTTTTGAGTAAGTTTTGACATTAAATTTAATTATTTTGTATTTAAATATCAACTTTGACATTCCTACATTTCTCTGAAAGACTAAAATAATAGAAATTTTTGTGGAAATGTGTTTTCTGCAGTCTCTTTGTGCTCCTTCTTCATCTATTGTATGCTTATATGTTGTCATGTGTTCCTGTGAAGGCATATAGGCACATGAAATAATTGCAACCATACCAGCAAAAGAACCTTTGATATTTATGGAACAAAAATAAGAACATGTTGTGAGTACATGAGGCCATAATCATGAAATGCAAGCTAAAGTTTTCTGTGATATACTGAAATGAACTGACTTTTAAAGTCATATCTCTTCTCAGAAAGAATCTAAATTAGGAAAGATATGATACTACACAAAGAAAGTAATCATAAAATACAAGTATATTTGCTATTAACGTCACAGACCACTTATTTATTTTTTGGGGGGGAGGGATTGCACCATTATGTTCCATTTGACCAAATAGCAAGTTAAATCTTTTACATGTTATAAATGTCAGCGATTTATCATTTTTTTCATGGAACATTGTGTGTTTGTGTGCTTCGTTGAAAAGGATGAATAATCACTTGCGATGCATTTAAAGAGGGAAATTAAAACTTCTGTATCCTTGCAAATGCTTAAGGCATCCAAGATCAAGTGCCTATTATCTTTTAGTTGCTTGATGTTGTATATTATGTGTGTATCTTGAAATTGAACAGTGAATATGTTAGTATATATGAGTAGAGAAGAGCATATAGGAATGCCTCACTTGCTACCACAGACATTTGTTTGTTATTGTATAGTAGTGTACATGGTATTACAAAACTGGACAGTTTTCCTGGATATTTTCCCTTCCACTCATATCTTCTGTGACTGTGCGACTTTATGTATCTCCTGAAAAATCCAAAACTCATAAATAAGAGAAAGTGTAATATTGTTCCTTTTGATACTGAATTAAAATGACTAATAATTTTAGTTTCATTTGTATCTTGTTTAGTCAAGTGATATACCTTCACTCCTCTTTATGGGTGATAAAATTTCACTGCTAGACAAAATAGTTTTTTAAGATATAAGGCTATTTTTCAAAAAGACATGTTCTTAATCATAGATAATACTATTATTTTTTATGGAGTGTATTAACAATAGTTCAAAATTAAAGTAGTCCCACTATTATTTAGTGTTAATATAATCAACCCTTTGATGGTGTACATTACATATAAGTGTAGTATTGTGTAGTCGATGAACATTGCTTTCTTCTATTAAAACTAATCACATAAGACTCTAGTAGGTTTGGCCTGGTGATAAGTAATGCTGATCAATACTGAAATCAAGTGAACTGTGTAGAAGTAAAATGTAGAAAACAGAATTGCACATAGTAATGTGATAACTCTATGCCCTGTGACAGGAATGTCTTTGGCAATTGGAAACTTCAAGAATGACAATGATAGATGTTCTGAATCAGATGGAAGCATAAATGTGAATGAGACATGCATAAGATGTAAACCAATTGCTTCTACAGCCACTGTGACTCTGCACATGTCTTCTGTTACCAAGTTCATGCAAATGGTATTTTGTTTGCTGCTAGTGCACATGTATTTCTTCACAGGTAAATACTGATTATATTTTACATATAATAAGTAAGTTATATATATATATAGGCTCTCTCTCTCTCTCTATATATATATATATATATATATAGAGAGAGAGAGTTCCTAAGACATATGATCTTAATTCAAGACCAGAAAGTGGTTCATGAGGTACACATATGCTGTTTTTTTCTTACCCAGATTATGCCTACATTTCTATTAAGTGGACAGAAATTCCCATGACTTATTTTCAGCTGATGCTCAAACTGAAACATCCATGAATAGTGTTAATAGCCACCACTAAAATGTCTAATGGGCTGGGCAGTGTTTAGGTATTTCATAAGCACATCAAGAGACCACTCTAGGAGATGGATATTTTGGAAGTCCCTGTGGTACAAAAGGTGAAATAGAGGCAGAGGGAGACTTAGTAAAATGCTCAGGATCAGTATGATACTAACTGAATGAACCTCATGCTGCCACCATGTGTGTGGCTTCAGGGTCCATAGCTTTTGTCACCACTTTTTTTTCTATCCAAGTATTTCTGAGTCCTTGTTGCTACAATGTGTACAATAAAATTAGAGATATTATTCTGTCATGGTAGTTATTACATTTCATTTTAGACTATTAGTATCATTCAAGAAGAAGTGATAAACTTGGAAACAGTGTGCAAATATGAAAAAAAGGAAAGACAACAGAAGAGAAAGGGAAGAGGTCTGAGGAAATAGTGCTATAGACCATGAGAGACTGAGAAACTGGAAAAACTCTGACATATTGTCTAATCCCCTTGTTTGTTAGAATGCAAACAGAGACATGTTTGTAATTATGTTTAGAAAGTGAACCTAACCATCACCTTTGTCCTCTGGCTGTGAATTTTCTTTGACTGTTCTGATTTTGGGGATCTGGGCAATGAATTCCTATGTGAGGACCCTGAGCATCTAGGATATATTAAGAAAAAACCCATGCCCCTCTCTCAGCATTCACTCTCTCTTTTCCATTTTTAATTCTATCTGGTTCTCTGCCTAGATTTTCCTGAGAGTACAGGAAAACTATACAGTATGCTTAGGCAGGATTTGGAAAGAATAATGGATTAATTTAAGTGAAGTAAAGATACTTGTGGAAAAAACTGATAGTGGATGTAATTGTGTTACTAATTAGTACAAGCAATCATGAAATGGAAGTACAATTACTAAAATATGTCAGCGTCAAATAAAGCTATAGGTAATTGTGAGCTCAATCATATTGGTGGTATTTGGTACAGTTCAAAATCTACTTATTTTTTTAGATGAAGTGAGATAAATATGATGTCTAAAATTATTTTTTGATAATAGTCTAATAGTGCAAAATAAAAGCACTGACATGTCTCTAAAAGGACCAATACTATTTTGGTAGGCACTACCCAACTTCATATTTGTAAGCATTATCCACAGGTATTACCAGCACAATGTCTTTATCATTATTAATTGATATACTTGTGTTTAACACCACCATCATTTTTTAAGTTTCTTAAAGGAGATACCTTTTCTCTGTTCATTTGCTGCTATCAATGCCAAGGTGTGATGAGCTTTAAATAACTACTTTTAAAGGTATGGGTGACAGAGATACTCCTGTCTGCTTTTCTGTGTAAGGATTCACTGAGATAAACCTAGTACTTAGAGATTTATTAAGAGAAAGTGAATGGAGCTTTTTGTCAAAGTGAAGCTCAATATTACTTACTAGTTTTCTACTACTTGTTAACTATTGTAGAAGACAACATGTGCATCATGACAGAATGGATTCACAGTCTTGTTCACAATTCGTGGCAGGCCCTATTCTCCTGAGCTCCTTCTCTGAAACAAGCCTGATAGAAGATTAAATGGGCCAAAACAATGTCACGGAATTTGTCCTCCTGGGATTCACTCAGGATCCTGCTGGGAGAAAGGCATTATTTGTTATATTTTTACTCATTTACATTGTGACAATGGTGGGAAATCTGCTCATTGTGGGAACAGTGATTGCCAGTCCCTCCTTGGACTCCCCAATGTACTTCTTCCTTGCCTCTCTGTCTCTCATGGATGCCGTTTATTCCACTGCCATCACACCCAAGTTGATTGTAGACTTGCTCCATGTTAAAAAGACCATCTCCTTCACAGCTTGCATAAGCCAGCTCTTTGTAGATCATTTATTTGGTGGTGTTGACATTGTCATTCTGGTGGCAATGGCTTATGATCGGTATGTGGCCATCTGTAAACCCCTGCATTATCTGATTATCATGAATCGACGTGTGTGTATACTTTTCTTAGTGCTGGCTTGGGTGGGAGGTTTTGCACATGCTTTGTTTCAAGTTCTTGCTGTTTATAAACTTCCTTTCTGTGGTCCCAATATCATTGACCACTTTGGCTGTGACATATACCCATTGTTGCTACTTGCATGCACTGATACCTACTTTATTGGCCTCTCTATCATTGGCAATAATGGGGCCATGTGTATAGTGATCTTCATCCTCCTGCTATTCTCCTATGGAATCATCCTAAGATATCTTAAGAACCACAACCAGGAAGGGAGGCGTAAAGCTTTGTCCACCTGCAGCTCTCATATCACAGTGGTTTTCCTGTTTTTTGTTCCCTGTATCTTCATGTATGTTAGACCAGTTTCTAGTTTTCCTGTTGATAAATCCATTACTGTATTTTATACCATTATCACTCCCATGTTGAATCCCTTAATATATACTTTGAGAAACTCAGAGATGAAAAACTGTATGGAAAAGCTTTTACAAAAACTATTGAGTTACAATAGATTAAGACTTTCTTCTTGATGCTTATATTACTAAGCACCAGGCAATTATCCTGAATAAATATTGTAGTAGTATGTGTTCCAATTTGAACATTGTCTCTAGCCCTTGATATTGTGTGACTACTGTTATTGTTAATACAATTCAACTTTTTTCACACCTGCCTTTCACAGTTTTTCATTTGAAATATGATAGCAGCATTTTACCCCATACCTTATAGAAATCATGTCAGTATTAGAACCAGTCAAGTCCTCCCACAGAGGTGAGAAGGGCTCTAATAACTTTCTCATATCCAACAATTCCTGCCACACATGAGGAAAAAAATCAATTTGATTCTTTAGAAGCAGAAAGTGTGAAAAAATAGAGATTTGGGACAGGGTCACTGGAAACATGAACCCATAGCATTTGGGGTTTGCTTCACAAAATCAAGACAGTCAATATTCCAGTAGGTATTGATGAGGGCTTCACAGGCCACTTCTTTAGCTGAGGATCAAGTGACAGTTAATAGTTTTTGGGTGAGAGGATGTTTTCTTTAGTGTTTAGATCATGGTAGCTTACTAATACTGCAGTGGATGGTCCTCCATCAAGGCTCATGTAGGCTATCTAATTGAACATAATGGGTTATAAGTAAATATATGAAAAAGATATGAAGTTGGGAGGGGTATGTGGCAGTGGGGTTCTAGGAGGAGTTGGAGCAATGGAGTTGGCATGAACATGATAAAAATATATTGTGCACTCTTATGAAATTGTCAACATGGTGATAGATATGGATATATTTGCAATCTTCTACATGTTGACATCCAGTTGTGCCAGCAACACTTGTTAAAGATGCTTTCCTTTTTCCATTGTACCCTTTTGGATTATTTGTCAAAAATCAGGTGTTCATGGGTATGTGGGTTAATGTCAGGGTCTTCAATTTGATTCCATTGGTCAATGTATCTGTTTTAATGCCAATACCAAGCTTTATTATTTCTATAGCTCTATAGTAGAGCTTCAATTCAGGAATGGTGATGCCTCTGGAAGTTCCTTTATTGTACAGGATTGTTTTAGCTATTCTGGGTTTTTTATTTTTCCATATAAAGTTGAGTAATGTTCATTTAAAGTCTGTAAAGAATTGTGTTTGGAGTTTGATGAGTATTGCACTGATGTTGTAGATAGCCTTGGTAAGATTTCCATTTTTATTATGTTGATTATATCTATCCAAGAACATGTGAGATCTTTCCATTTTCTGATGTCTTCTTCAATTTCTTTCTTTAGAGACTTAAAGATCTTGTCATATAGGTCTTTCACTTTTTTGGTTAGAGTTACCCCAAGATATTTTATATTTGTGGCTATTGCAAAGGCTGATGTTTCTCTGATTTCTCTCTCAAACTATTTATCATTTGTATATAGGAAGGATACAGAGGATTTTTTTTTTAGTTAATCTTGTATTCTACCATTAGTGCAGTTGTTTATCAGCTGTAGGTGTACCTGGGTAGAGTTTTTGGGGTCACTTATGTATACTATTATATCATCTTCAAATAGTGATAGTTTGACTTTATTTACAATTTGTTTCCCCTTGATTTTCTTTTGTCTTATTGCTCTAACTAGAGCTTCAAATACTATATTGAATTTATATAGAGACAGTGGACTGCCTGTTTTCTTGCTGATTTTAATGGAATCAATTTGAGTTTCTCTCTATCAAGGACCTCAATATAAACCAGTTACATTGAATCTGATAGAAGACAAAGTGGTAGGTAGCATTAAATACATTGGCACAGGAGATCACTTCCTAAATATAACACTAGGAACCAGACACTGAGAGCAACAATCAATAAATGGGACCTCCTGAAACTGAAAAGTTTCTGTAAGGTGAAGTACACAGTAAGTAAGACAAAACAACAGCATATATAATGAGAAAAGAACTTCACCAATCCATCTTACAGAGGGATGATCTCCAAAATATATGAAGAACTCAAGAAACTAGACATCCTCCTCATCCCTCCTCTTCTCCCCTTCTCATTCTCCTAGCTCCTTATCCCCTCCTGAATGCTCCCAATTTGCCCAGTAGATCTTGTCCCTTTCCTCTTCTTCTGTGGACTATGCATGTCTCTCTTAGATTCCTCCTTGTTGGAGGACATAAGGGAGAAGGAAGGTTGTATAGGGGGAAGAATAGAGGAAAACAAAATAAGAGATACCACCAGAGAGGGAGCCAGCATAGGTTCAAAGAGAAATCAGGCACTAGGGAAATGTCCAGAGATCTACAAGGATGACACCAACTAACCATCTAAGCAACAGTGGAGAGACTACCTTAAATGCCCTCCCTTGATAATGAGATTGATGACTAACATATATATCATCCTAGAGCCTTCATCCAGCAGCTAGTTGAAGTAGAAGCAGATACCCACAGCTAAACACTGAACTGAACTGAAATCCAGTTGCAGAGGAGTGATGAGCAAAGGAGTCAAGACCAGGCTGGTGAAACCCCCAGAAAGAGCTGATTTGAACAAGGGGGAGCTCTTGGTCTCCAGTCTGATCACTGGGAAACCAGCATGGAACTGATCCAGACCCCATGAATGTGGGTGTCAGCAAGGGGGCCTCAGAAATCTATGGGGCCTCTTGTAGTAGATCAGTATTTATCCCTAGCATAGGAATGGACTTTGGCATCTCATTTCATATAGAGGGATACTCCCTCAGCCTAGACACATGGGGAAGTGTGTAGACTCTCTCCTAAAGGATATGACAGACTCTGAAGACACCCATGGAAGGCCTCACTCTCCCTGGGGAGCAGAATTGGTATGGGATTGGTAGGGTGTTAATGGGGAACAGGGGAGGACAGGAGGGAGTAAGAACTGAGATTGTCATGTAAGATAATCTTGTTTCTAATTTAAATAAAAAATGGAGGAAAAACCTACATAATGAAAGAAAAGCTTTACCAAATATAAAAATAAAATCAATTAAGTAATTTTTACCTTGCCAGTAATGTTTTCTAATGGTATTTCGTGGAAAGCTAATCTATTTTAAAATTCAATACAATAAATAAATATAATTTATTTACCAAAAAAGAAACTAGACATAAAAATACTAAATAATCTAAAACCAACATGGGATAGAGCTAAACAGAATTCTCAACAGAAAAAAACTCAAATGGCCAAAAGTCATTTAAGGAATTGCTCAACATTTAAATCATCAGATAAATGCAATTCAAAATGACACTGAGATACCATCTTAAACATGTCAGGCTTAGATCAAAACTATGGGGGACAGATTATGTTGGAGAGGATGTGGAGTCAAGAGAATGATCCTCCACTGCTGGTGGGAATGCAAACTTGTATAGTCATTTTGGAACACGTTATGGTGGTTTCTCAGAAAATTGGGACTCAATCTACCTCAAGACCCAGCAATACCACTTTTGAGCAAATACCCAAAGGATACTCAATCATACCACAAGGACACTTGCTTAACAATATTCATAACAGCATTATTCATATTAGCCAGAACCTGGAAACAACCTAGATGCCCCTTAGCTGAAGAATTGATAAAAATTTACACATTTACACAATGGAGTTACTACTCAGCTGTAAAAAAACCAATGACATCATGCAATTTTCAGCCAAATGAATGGAACTAGAAAAACCATCCTGAGTGAGGTAATGCAAACTCAGAAAGACAAACACACAACCACCAAACACATTTTGTACTCACTTATAATTGGATATTAGATGCAAAGCAAAGGATAACTAATTACAATCCATAGTTCCAGAGAAACCAAGTAACAAGAACACTAAGAGAGACACATGTATTGCTCTGGGAAGGGGAATTAGATGAGATCTACTAGGTAAACTTGGGGTAAGGAGATTGGCAAAGAAGAGGGAATTGGGGATTAAAAACCTGAGGGAGTTGGATGGTTGATGGGGGGAAGGACAGAGATGGAGAGAAAGGAAAGAGATACCTTAATAGAGAGAGTCACAATGGGGTTAGGTAGAGACACGGTGCTAAGGAAATTGCTAAGAATTCACGTGGATGACCTCAGCTAAGACTCCTAGCAATAGTAGACTGGGAGCCTGTACTGACCTTCCCTGTAATAGGATTGGTGAATACCCCAACTATCATTGTAGAGACTTTATCCAGTTATTGATGGAATCAAATGCTGAGATTCACAACCAAGCATCAGACTGAGCTCGGCGAATCCAGTCACAGAGAGAAAGGCACGGGGGGGGGGGATACATGATTGAGTGAAATCAAGATCATGATGGAGAAATATACAGAGATAGCTGATCCAAGCTCATGGAAACTCATGAATTGTGGACTGACAGCTGTGGAGTCTTCATGGGTCAGAACTAGGTCCTCTGTATGTGGAAGACAGACATGAAGATTGGGCTATCTGAGGTTTCCCTAGCAGTACAGCCAGGATATATCCATTGTTCATGAGATAGCTTGTTGGAACCCATTCATTATGAGGGGATGCCATGTTCATCCTTAACAAAGGTGGGAAGGACTTGGTCCTTCTCCAACTTAATATGTCATACTTTGTTGATGCCTCTTGGGAGCCCTTACCTGCTGCTAGTAGTGGATGGAGGTTTACTGTGGGGAGGAGGTGGGGAGGGTAGTAGGGTAGGTGGGAGGGATCATTTTGGTTTGAATCTAAAATGAATAAAAATAATAAATACTATAGAAAAAGAAATTGTAAAGAAAATAATATGAATTATTTATATAAAGCACAAAGACTAGAGAAGCTCTTTATCTTGTAAATAATATATTAGTCATTACAGATTTCAATCCATTTGTTTCTTAAAATTTTTAACTGTTATTGCTTAATAAGTTCATTGACTAACAGTTGTGGCCCATACCTAGGCCTTTGTGACATAGAACCAATATGTATCTAAGTGTTTGGGATATATGTGCTCACTGGATTGATGACAAGCCAAATATAAGGGAATATATTGGAAGGTCTTTAGCACTGTCAATTTTAGGAAAATGACTAGTTCTTTTTAATATCAATGATTGTTTAATATTGAAGAGAATATAAAGGATAAGATGAAAAT